GACAAGAAAACAAAGAATCTAATTGGTTCTTAATAATCTAAAAGCATTCGCGCGATCGCTTTTGGGAGTTGAATAGATTTTAACTTTTCTGCGACCAGATTATCAAGAACCAATTAGGTGCTTTGTTTTCTTGTCTGGTTTACATAAAATACCTCCTGTCTTGTTTTCTTTGGCGCTTATCCAAAATATCAACTCCATGCTCTGCTACGCTGAGAAGAGGACGATGGAATAAATAACAAACGATTCAGAAGTCATATCGCTCTTAAGTCAATTTCAGCAAAGTCAATCCTCTACACTACAGTCAAATTATCATGCGTTTGAAAATGTCGAAAAGTTTCATTTTTTTGACAAGCTGATGATACTCTACCTTTTCACATCTCTCTGCGCATAATTTCCTTACACAGCATCTCCTTTTCTTACGAGTCTGCAGTGTCTTTCTTTTTAATTGTCACCTCAACAAAATGAGAATCAAAATTTGTGGTCTTGTAATCGCCATATTGTTTACGCGCCTGCGCGACCAAATCCCAAGAGTGGAAATCAATCCTGCGATAGCAATCAAGCGATCGCAAGCTTCGCGCGACCAGATTCGCCAAAGTGGAAACCCGCCTTTAACGAAATAAATCGCAAGGGTCGCGCGACCTGATTCGCCAAAGTGGAAACCCGCCTTTACGTTCTGATAGGAGACTTCAAAGATAGAGGGCAGAAAAAACACCCGAAATTTGTCTAAGTAAGCAACACAATATTAGAATAATAAGAATATGGGAGGATAATTAAAGTCCATCAGCAAAAGTGAACTTCGCGATAATAAGATTTATTTAATTAGCAGTACAACACAATTTTGAGTTATTCAGGGTCAGTGACGCAGGCGGCCAATATTCGTGAGATTTGTGCATTTGGAAAGAAAGAATTTCAACGCGTAACATATAATGCACTGCGAGCCTTATTGATCTGTGAGTAGCTTAGTCCGTTGTCGTAAAGATGCATCAGAAATGCTATTAGTTGGTACACAGTGGGCTTCTTCCTCATTGCATCTCATTGCAAAGAAATTAGCCCTTGTAGTGAAATGCAGTAAATAAGAAACACCGCAAGGTGCCGAGAACAAACAACAGCAAACACAAGTAAATCAGTTATGGCTAATATTTCGCCCGGCATATAGGGCTTCGCTTGTCGTATTGGCCATATCTGCTGTGCATTTCTTCGGCAAAATTTTGGCATTGGCGTGGTCTAACTGCTGGTTTTTGATTCAAAAATTTGCTGACGTGACGAAAACAGTGCGAGATTTGACCTGACAAACTTTGCAAAATAACAGGCCCGTAGACACTGGGGGCAGGGGGGAGGGGGGGCAATGCCCCCTCCCAATAATTTGCGAAAATTTTGTTTGAAGATGTTAAAAGCGCAGCTTGATCTGACAATATTTCGTAAGGCAGGTATAGAAAAACTATATTTCTATCCATGCTCCCCAATCTAGTTTAGCAGTCTACGGGCATGCAACAATCAATAGGCTTTAAATGTCTCCCATTGTAAACTAAACAAGAAATAGAAACGAGATACAACTGGAAGACGTAGATGCATTACAAGTTTTATGCTCATAGAAATGTAGACATGAAATGACATCCAAACATAAAAAGTAATGACTCGTTACTCTTGAAAGTTTCTTACTGAGAACATTTATTTACTGTCTTCAACATGCTGGGCTTGTCGCTAAACGTTGAGAATAAGATCTTGGCATTTTGGTAATTGGAAAGTATAAGGGGATGGGACATTATTGTAAATACGCTGAGAAGAGGACGATGGAATAAATAACAATCGATTCAGAAGTCATATCGCTCTTAAGTCAATTTCAGCAAAGTCAATCCCCTACACTACAGTCAAATTATCATGCGTTTGAAAATGTCGAAAAGTTTCATTTCTTTGACAAGCTGATGATACTTTCCCTTTTCACATCTCTCTGCGCATATTTTCCTTACACAGCATCTCCTTTTCTTACGAGTCTGCAGTGTCTTTCTTTTTAATTGTCACCTCAACAAAATGAGAATCAAAATTTGTGGTCTTGTAATCGCCATATTGTTTACGCGCCTGCGCGACCAAATCCCAAGAGTGGAAATCAATCCTGCGATAGCAATCAAGCGATCGCAAGCTTCGCGCGACCAGATTCGCCAAAGTGGAAACCCGCCTTTAACGAAATAAATCGCAAGGGTCGCGCGACCTGATTCGCCAAAGTGGAAACCCGCCTTTACGTTCTGATAGGAGACTTCAAAGATAGAGGGCAGAAAAAACACCCGAAATTTGTCTAAGTAAGCAACACAATATTAGAATAATAAGAATATGGGAGGATAATTAAAGTCCATCAACAAAAGTGAACTTCGCGATAATAAGATTTATTTAATTAGCAGTACAACACAATTTTGAGTTATTCAGGGTCAGTGACGCAGGCGGCCAATATTCGTGAGATTTGTGCATTTGGAAAGAAAGAATTTCAACGCGTAACATATAATGCACTGCGAGCCTTATTGATCTGTGAGTAGCTTAGTCCGTTGTCGTAAAGATGCATCAGAAATGCTATTAGTTGGTACACAGTGGGCGGAGATATAGTGAAGTTTCTTTCATTGCAATATAAACAATCACTGTTTGAGAATTGACTCATAATTTTTCTGGGTGTTCTCCCTCCAGCTTGCCTTGATAACTTCGATAGTTCGCTGAGAAACTTCGTTCTCAAAATACGTTAGTATGGTCAATCTATTTCTGTTAACTATACAGCCATGAAACTTGGCAAACCGACACAATTTGACTTGCTGAAAATGATAAAAGTTGTCCCCAACCTCAGAAATACTCCTTATACTATTTTTAGACTGTGGTACTTCTGCCCAGTACTCAAAATACGTTAGTATGGTCAATCTATTTCTGTTAACTATACAGCCATGAAACTTGGCAAAACGACACATTTTGACTTGCTAAAATGATAAGAATGGTCCCCACCCTCAGAAATACCACTTGTGCTATTTTTAGAATGGGGTTCCTGTCCCCAGCACTCAGAGGACATAACTATGGTGAATCCATTTCTGTTAGCTGTAAAGCCATGAAACTTGCCGAACCTACACAATTTGATTTGCTTAAAAAGACAAAAGAAGTCCCCCACCTCAAAAATACCCCTTTAAACATGATTTCTCATGCTTTGACTATAGAACATGATATCAAATCATTTTCTGGTATATCTCCAGGCATAAAAAACAATTCATACCAGGATGTACATGCATATGTATACCTTTAAATGATCTATATGTTTCCAAGTTTATTAAAAGACCTTATCTTAACAAAAGATATGTCATAGATTTTATCTCATAACTGTTCTCTGTGAAAATTGTTGAGTTGAAGCAAATTTCAGAAAAATATAACCATTGGGCACCAAAAATTTCATTCTCAAAATTTGAAAACAGTGTATCTAAACAACAGGCAGTGACAGAATACATTAAAAGAACATTGTACCCTTAAGGTAAAACATTTTCTTCTGATTATTTATAAAAAATGTTACCAAGCAGGTGGTACAGGACCATTATTGTAAGAGAAAAACTTGATCAACTCCAGACTATTCTACACAGTTTGATGTGAGTGAAATATCTTGAAAAATACACCTTAGGAATCTTAAGAATTTCAAGCCTTGCTCAATCCCCCCCCCCCCCTCTTGATGTGACAAATCTAGTTATTTGGCCTAGGGCTGACAAAATATGGCCATTGCCCCACTAGAGTTTCAACAAATGTCTAACTTACAACATGACCCCACTAGTTCTAAATTTCTCTTCTTGCTATTATGAACTAAAAGTCTAGTCCCTTTGAATAATCCCTGTATATAACCCCTGTACTCCACTGTATATGTAATAGGTAGCTGATTTTCGAATTTTCATTGTCTCTCTGCAAAATTTTGAAACCCTTGTCTTCTTTGACTAAAGTTCTTTTCTTTAAATATGTCGTAAATGCATACTTAAAGTTGTCCAGTTATTCCAGCACAAATACTCAAAACCAGCAAACCATACATTGATCGGCCACTGTTTGTAGATACCTAGCAAAGTGGATATAATTTTCGGTATTAATCTATTTTAGGCATTTGACATTTTTGAATTATCAGTCCAAAAATCTGAATTGCAGTAAGATTTAATAATACTTGTCAATGTACACAAAACAAACCAATTTTCAAACCAAAGTGGATTAGGTCGACCTGTTCCGTGCTACACATCAAACTATGTATAAACGTTTTTATATCAAAGCAAATATTCATTAAATTGTAACATGTAATAATCCTTATCATTTCAGATTTTAGAAATGGAAAGATTATAATATGTAGCCTACTCATTCTCTGTTGTATCTTATTTTTTATAAGGAAATAAGGAAATTGAGTTCGAGTATTTTTTGCCTTCATTGCAAGAAAAGAAACAAGGATCGACGTACCATTTATTTACTTCCTCATTGCCTCTCATTGCAAAGAAATTAGCCCTTGTAGTGAAATGCAGTAAATAAGAAACACCGCAAGGTGCCGAGAACAAACAACAACAAACACAAGTAAATCAGTTATGGCTAATATTTCGCCCGGCATACAGGGCTTCGCTTGTCGTATTGGCCATATCTGCTGTGCATTTCTTCGGCAAAATTTTGGCATTGGCGTGGTTTAACTGTGCTGGTTTTTGATTCGCAAATTTGCTGACGTGACGAAAACAATTCGAGATTTGACCTGACAAACTTTGCAAAATAACAGGCCCGTAGACACTGGGGGAAGGGGGGAGGGGGGGGGCAATGCCCCCTCCCAATAATTTGCGAAAATTTTGTTTGAAGATGTTATAAGCGCAGCTTGATCTGACAATGTTTCGTAAGGTAGGTATAGAAAAACTATATTTCTATCCATGCTCCCCAATCTAGTTTAGCAGTCTACTGGCATGCAACACTGAATAGGCTTTAAATGTCTCCCATTGTAAACTAAACAAGAAATAGAAACGAGATACAACTGGAAGACGTAGATGCATTACAAGTTTTATGCTCATAGAAATGTAGACATGAAATGACATCCAAACATAAAAAGGAATGACTCGTTACTCTTGGAAGTTTCTTACTGAGAACATTTATTTACTGTCTTCAACATGCTGGGCTTGTCGCTAAACGTTGAGAATAAGATCTTGGCTTTTTGGTAATTGGAAAGTATAAGGGGATGGGACATCATTGTAAATAAAAGCTTACATGTATTGCCCAGGATCGTCCTTTCGACAAACTTAATGTGGCAAATATTCTAGATGCATTTCTGGGCCAGCCCTGCCTATGTTACTGATATCACCATCTTGGTTGCTATGCAAACAATTCATTAAGCTGGCTGCTCAACCAAAGATCGGAAAAACATGACACTCTATTATGTTTTGACTTGAAAATTACATATCAAGATTTTCTCAAACAACTTAGATATTTCTTGAATAAATGAAATATTTCATTAAGTTTTACCCTGAGTACCAGATCGAGAAAGGTGACCCCTCTAAGTACCATTTGCCGTTTTCTATCACTGAGGCCCCCCTTTAAAAGTCCTTCAGCTAGAAAACAATAATTTTTTCCCCCGCAATGTCATGATTTTATCTAATCTTATATCCTACGCTAGAATTAAATTTCCAGTGAAAATGATGTAGATCCCTCTTGTAAATCTTTTACACATACGCCTACATCTCTGGTGGTTACTAATTAGAATTAAAAGCAATATTACAAAAAACGTTTTAAAAAAGAATAAAATGTGATGCAACAAGCAATTTTGGGGATACCCGTAAACTTATTTTTGATTTTCGGGGCCCTTTTATCGACGAAATGGCCCGAGCCCTAATTATGGAGCCAGCCCGCCCCTGAGAATAACCCAGTAGCAAGCTGTTTGTGAATACCTTCAACATACTGACATTTCATTTATGATAAATCTATAGCCAACTTAAGAGATCTCAACAGCGAATAAGAAGAAGAAATGCAAAATTTATCGCCGTCAAATGGTAAATAATAAATATTTTCATAATAAGGTACATAGTTGATCTAGAGACGAAAGTCCGAAAACTTCCATCTTTGAAGAAGCATAGTAGCGAACAAGCTCTTTGACGTTTCTGTAATGCTTGTCTTGCTCTTCCTTGCACCTTTTGTCCCAAAACCATTGATAGAATTCAAATGAAAAAAGATTGTAATGTATCTTTGTCTGGTTCCATTTTTCGCAATTTTCCGGACAGACATCAAATCCAGCTGAGTAACAAAGTCCTTCTTTAATAAAATCTTCGATATATTCCTTTGGAGGGACTTTTGAGTCATAGGACTGACCGTTTGTTATTGTGTACCTCAGGTGAATTGATGAGCGCGGCATTGGTATCGTCATCTCTGGGGGTACGTTAGTCCGATAATAATCTGGCGACACTTGACTGGCAAGCAAATTTTCTCCTCTCCAGTCACCATTTGGGACCATCTGCAAGCGCCATGAGTACTCATTTCTATGATAGTACCAAACATAATTGCACATGATACTAAACTGACAAAGACAAAACATTGTGCCTGGAGTGTTTTTAAACACTGAATCAAAATCCATGCTATGATTTCTTGCTAGGACTTCTCTCATTTTTAACATATGCTCCGTTTTTATCATAACAGGAAAAGTTGACATGCACTGCATAACTTCTTTTTTGCCGAAAAAAAATTCAGTTGTCTCAGCCCAACATTTGAACGGAACTTGGCCAATTTTTGCAATAATAATTGGTTTTCCATTGTCAAATAGCAACTGTGGTGTTACTAAGGTGCTAAAAAATGTATCAGTATCGACATACCCCACATAAGATACATTGGTACATTTATCGGGATACATCATGTCCCAAAACATTCTGGCCTTGCCCCATCCGCGGTATGCACCGATGGAACTTGGATCTCTGTAGCATATTTGTGGATATGGCCATTCCGTTTTTATTTTGTCTCCAAACAAATGGTCTTCTTTCTTTTCGTTGTCCAATACAACTAAAAGTTTTGCTCGTTCGGGTGGAAAGAAAAGCTTCATAGTGCGAACCAAATAATTTTTATACTCTTGCTCAAAACGCGGATTAGAGGTTAATCTCAAGTATAGCACAAACTCAGGAACGCCATCCCAAGGGTTTCTTGATGGAAAGATTCTTTTAAAGCTCGGTTGAGTTTTCCTCTGCATTTCCATTGATTTCATCAAAAAGGTCACAATTGCAATGAACACCATTGCTATTAGCAAGTAGACGTGTAACAACTGCATGTTAGCATCTGTTAGAGAAATTAAAGACAAAATTTGTCAAAATGTGGGACAAGAGTTTTCTGTATCATTCTAAAATTTATGGTTTTATAAAAACCTTTAGTACATTGATTATTAGGACCAATGAACTGCAAGAAAAAAGATATCAAAGTTGAAGAAAGATATTAAGAATATAGACTTTTAAAGAATAAGAATAAAGGATAAAAAAGACACGATATTTTTGTTTTTGTTATATAGTAAGGTCATAGTTGACAGAAAGGGAATTTTTTATTAGGATTATTGAGTAATAACCTTTAATTTGCATCGTATGTTGTTCTGATTTTGATGCTTTAAAGGCAAAATATTTTTCTTGTTCTACATTCTTACGGTTGATAGAGCTGAGCTAATGATTTTGGTAGTGTTGAGTGTCCTTTTTGAAGAAGTTACATAACACTGATGTATAGTAGCTTATTAATGTCAAATAAATATTACATTATTTCTTTCTTGCAACTGTTGTCGAAGTTATGAAAAAAGGACCTGCATCAGCTTTGAATTCTTTGAACCAAGCCAATTCAACAGTTTTCTAGTTATCAAACTTCAAATGGCCGTATCGCATGAAATATGTAATAGATTTAACTTGTTTTCCACATTTTGAGACATTTTAACGTGTTGTTTCTGCCTGTGCAATAGTACAATAGTTTATTCGTTCAAAATCGAAAATTCAGAAAAAAACAATTTTGTTATAATGTCATCTCTGTTTCTATCGTTAACAGAAACATATAACACAGCTTGTCAAGGCCATTAGTAGAAAGAAGAATGTTTCAAAATATTAAACTTTTGCACAAATTAAACTTTATAAAAATACATATTCTTCGAACACCAAGTTTCTAAACTAGTGCTAAAGATACCATTTCTTCGTTCTATTCCAGTGATGTTGTCATTATGGATCATGGATCAAAACCTCTTGGGCATTGGTAAGCGTCGCCAAAGGTGACTTACGTTTGGAGTTGCACAGCAAATCATATTCGAATTAAACAGAAAAAAGCGTTCGAAAATACCGAGGAAAATGGCTCATGAAGCAAATTTACTTATAATATCTACAGTCAGTGAGCAAAAGTATTGCACAGGCTGAGACAGAAAGTAAGAAAGAAGGTGCTCGTAGAAAACGACAACATAATAAATGACGACAAGAAGATTTGTGAAATTTTCAATTCTTATTTTGTAAACATAAACGACACACTACCTATCACAGCACCGCCAGAGTCTGACGTTGAAATCAATTCGTCAACTGATAATGTGCTGTATTCGATTCAGAGCTACAGGAGCCACCCTAGTATTATCAGAATTAAGGAGAATGTTGGTATTATTGACGAATTTGAATTTAATTTTGTTGCACCTTTTGATGTTTGGAAAGAAATCAACCAGCTTAGTAGTTAAAAAAATCTAGTGGGGAGATTCCTACGGACATTTTGAAATTACTCTCAGATTTGTGTATTGATCAAATTACAATGTTTGTAAATAATATGTTCGAATATAGCGAATTTCCTGACCAACTAGAACTGGCTGATGTATCACCTATCTTCAAAGCGAACGATTCTACGTTGAAACTTAACTTTAGGCCTACAAGTGTCCTTCCGGCTCTTTCTTTGTCTAAAAGTCTTTGAACGCATCATGGTGAAACAAATGAAACCGTTTGCAAATACCAGATTTTCTAGTTTACTATGTGGCTTCCGTGACGGCTACAGAACACAAAATGCATTGTTCCGTCTTTTTTGAGCTTGTGGCAGTACATTGGGTAAAAAGGGTTATGTGGGAATGGTACTAATGGATTTATCAAAAGCTTACGACTGCCTTCCACACGATCTCTTGATAGCTAAGCTAGCTGCCTATGGTTTCGGTCTGAGAAAAACTGAGACTATTTTGAAGTTACATTTCAAACAGGAAGCAACGAGTCAAATATGGCAACTCATTTAGTGAATGGCTAAACATAGAATCTGAGGCTCCCCAGGGTTCAGTGTTAGGTCCATTTCTGTTTTACTTTTTCATGAACAATTTCACAAATGTCCTTACTAAGTCAGAATACTGTAATTTTGCAGATGATAATACTATATATGCATGCAGACAAACCCTAGAACAGGCTGTATCTTATCTTAGGGATGATACCCATAATGCGCTGTGTTGTTTTCGGGACAATGGAATGGTTGCGAATCCTTCCAAATTTCAAGTCATGTATCTTGGTCTGAAGCCAGAGCAGGAATACGTGTTTGAAATTGCTAACAAACCCATTCCTGCAACTAGCACAGTCAAACTCTTAGGTATTACTATAGACTCTAGGCTAAAATTTGTCGACTATGTAAACGCACTTTGCACGAAAGCAAACAACAAGACCAGCGCATTTTCGCGAACAGCAAAATATTTAAATCAGCACAAGAGACATATTCTTTACAAAACATATATCATATCAAACATCAATTATTGTCCTTTAATCTGGATGATCTGTGGGAAATATGCCAATGCAGCAATAAACAGAGTTCACAAAAGGGCACTGAGAATTATGTGGGGGGACTTCGCAGCCCCCTTTGCTGAACTTTTAGCAAGGGGTAGCGAAAGAACTATTCCCACAAAAAATTTGCTAAAATCTATGCTGGAAATAAAGAAATGCTTCAATTCAGAAAAACCATCTTTTATGCGGCAAATCTTCCGGGCAAAAGATGTAGTCTATAACCTAAGGACTAAAAATCTTCTACAGTTACCAAGCACAAACACAATTTCAAATGGAAATGATTCACTATCCTTCAGGGGTGCCATCCTTTGGAACACTTTATCTGACTCAATAAAAGCCTGACAGCCAGTGCTAGCTTTTAGAGATCAATTAAAGAGTGGAAAGGTGATATTTGCTCATGTAAAATATGTAGATAAAAGGTTTGTGGGAATCTCATCATAAGCATATATTTATTGTAGTTATGGTAATTAGAATTTATCTTTATGTAAATAGTTGGTCTTAATTAGTTCAAGTTAGAACTAACAGTATTTTAACCAACTGTAAATAATGTTACAATAATAATAACAATAATATTGCATCGGAACTCAATCAATATAAGGTGTCTCAAATTGTTGGTCAGGGAAAAAATATGCTGCAAATTGCTTGAAACAACATTATTATGTTTTCTCATTGAATGAAAAGACCAAAATTCCCGCAATAAACATGTTCACTCAAGTACTTCAATAGCTGTGAATTTATGATAAAATGACTTAGAATATGCCACTTTCAACCAAATACAGGGCTAATATTGTCCAACTAGGCACTCCAACGACTAGATCTGTTCTTGCAAATGTTTTTCTGAATCTTTTGTGTTGCGTTTAACAGAACCTGTTACAAAACTCTTTGATAAAGTTTTAGCAAGTCTCACAGATTTTTCAAAGCTGAGCAACTGTAAATTTAAAAGTTTATATTTTTGCTTTTAAAAAAGTAGCTTCTTCAATTTTTAGAGTAAAAGTGTTGCCAATGGTTTGAAGTTTGGTTACATCGGTTAGTAACTATAAAAGGACGCCACATATGTGGTTTTAATTTCGATCGCCATGTTGTTCACAACTCGGTCGCCTGAAACAACATTATGTTTTTTCATTGAATGAAATGACCGGTGATAAACATTTTAATTAAGTCTTTTGTCTTATGTTAATTAGCTTGGGTTGTGGTAGTTCGGAGTTACTCGTGTAAATAGAAGTTTTTCGTTATGTTTTGGTAAAGAGGAGTCATCAACTTAGATCTTGTCGTCTCTCTATATCTTGCATTCTCCACATTCTAACAGCCAGAAACTGTATCTAAAATGAATTTTGACTGAAGGTGTCGCATAGTCGCGTCTATTGTGATGTTGACTTGAAATAGAAAAGTTTTGCAAAGCTTTAGAATAACCACTATCCTATAGCTCGTGATGAAACCATTTTTAGATTTTAAATTTACCCGAAATAACATGAGGGAAAAAATAAATGTGTATTATCGATACTTATTCACTCTGGGTAATTCTCATATTCATGTCTGTATTTGTTTATGCTTCTCTTAGTTAGGAAATAATAGCTTGTCGCACTTTAGTTTTTCATGTTTTCCGGTAACGTAATATTCTACATCCCCTTTTACCCTACAAAGTTCCCCCGCGCATCTTAATATATCTAACACCTCCTACTAGTTCATTTACGTATTGCACGATAGATACCGACAATAACACCAGCAATTATTGATGTTAGTTTGCTATATTGTAATGCTGTTATATAAATTAGAGTAAGGAGAAACAGAGTTAGAGGCCACTGCTATCAAAATTGTAAAAGTTAACGTTTTTATGATTTGTATTCGTGAGAAGCAATTCTTGTGTTTTATTTAGCATTCTCTACCGCTCCGAAAAATTAATCTAGCCAAATATACGAAGCCCCTCACAAATTAAACAAGGATTAATATAAAACATTAAAGTTGAAATATCAACAGAAGAACTATTAACTAAAAATAAGAAGCAATAATTGCAATTTTGTACAACTGAGATAAAACTTTGTAACATCTGATCTTAATTTTTCGGAAATTAAGTGCTTTAACAAAAATTTGAAAAACCTTCAAACTGGGCTTGTCAAAATAAGTTTAAACAGAATCTATAAATTGTGTCGATATTTTCGCTTTCTTAGCAGGAATGGATTTCCAAACGATCAAACTCTGAAGTTTTCTTGAATCTTGAAAATACTTTTTAAAAAAAAATCTGCCCATACTTTATTTCTCATATCCTCAAAAAAGTTCCTTCCAGTTGTTTTATTTCCTTCAACAGCTGATTTTTCTCTTTTTGTAATGTTTCTGAGAAAGTTTTCGTTGACAAATAGACCCTTTGTGCCAAGTTTAGGCAATGGGAAAAACGAAACTCTGTCAATTTATTCTGGCGACAAGTTATTAAGGACAAGATTCCTCGATCTATTTCCTAAGCCAAGCTGTCACTAGTTGCAAAACTTAGACAACATAGCAACCAAGGTAAAGCTAAGGACGCATTTAAGAGAATAC